GAGACTTAGTGCCACCTGGATTTACAGCGCCAGGAACGACGAAATGGGGAGCGTTTAGTCTGGTCAATTTCAATTACCTTAACGGGTTAGGCATAGACCATCATGTGTGTTTTAATGAACCGAGAATAGGGAAAAATCCTCAACCTGAAAGATTCACCATTGACCCTGATGCACCCAAAGAGTTTCCTAACTTCAGAAATTTCCCAAATTGGGATCTGAGAAGTGGTTTTTGCTCACCATTTCGAAGATCGTTAGATCAGCAAAAAGCCGACTGGTTTGATTATTTTGCATATGGCATAAATGGCACATTACGTCATGTGAGTCTGATAGTACGTGGTGTGAATGAAATTATGAGTGACAGTGTAGTGCAGGTTTCTAACAATGTAATTCAAGGAACTTCTGATTCAATGGGCATGTTGGTAAAAGGAGTGAGAGAGCACATCATTAGGCCTGTCTGGGACGCTCTGTTCTGGCCCCTCTGCGCTCTAGGATTGATGTGTGGGGTGATTATTTTAATAATCGGTATGATTTTGGCCTGTAAAAACAACAAATGGCAGTTGACAGGAAGAAAGCTGTTAGGAGAAAGGAGAAAGGACCTGGTAGATCCAGATAAGATGGGAAGAGAGGTGTCAAGGTAGAGGGAGCATTAGCCCCCCTTCTTGTTGCTCCTGTTTAAGTGCAGGCCTCTCTGCACCGCGTGTCACTTGCTCCTTAACTGTCAGTCTGTAACTTGAAGTGAACCAATGGCTCATCAAACTCACCCTGAATCTGAGCTGATTGACGCTCTGAATCTGGAGGTATGTCAGGATTTTGTAACTATTTTATCCAGTTTGTCTTTAGGATGTTGTAGACATTTCATAACTGGTGTACACTTGTTGTGAGGATTATTGTTGTAAAACTATGCCTGCAGATAGGAATTGTAGTGTGGTTCTTCCTGCAGCTTCTGATGATCTATTTTCTCCTATAATTAAGAAGTGTTTATGCAGTAATGCAGTTACTTATTGCTTCATGGAATGAGTTATATATCTCATGTGGAACATATTTTATGTTCCTTCCAGATGGACTCGATTCGGCAGAATATCATAGAGGGATTAATCCCCTCCGCAGGTCCATCAACTGTTTTCTCTCTGAATGGCGCATACTATTTGTGCACCGTGAATCGCGGGAGGGATGGATTGCCTCAGACTAAGACAATCGGGCTCCAGTGTGAACATGCTACGATGAATAAACGCTGCGTGTCTTGCAGGTTTATTCAGTACATCCAGACCAAATGGAAAAGGGATTCAAGCGGGAGACTGATCAGGAAGACGACATACTAATGTTGTCCTCCCCGGGAGTAGATGCCCTGCTTGAGCAGGCCCACGACGAGGAGCTGACAACGGCGCCCTCATCTGACGTGGCTGAAGAGGTTGTATCAGTAATGACGGCAGCTTCGACATGTGTCCCGTGTCCTGATGTGATACGTGAAATCCCTATGGTCTGTCTAAGTAGTGAGCCAGCAGGCATTCCTTCCCCTGTCCGAATTGCACCTGGGAGAGAAATGAGATGGAGGATTAAATCCCAGAAGGGGTGTTACTTTGTTTGTCAAGGCAAGATTATAGATTGCTTTCAGTTTATGAATATTTTGTCTGTAAAGACTGGATGGTTCGGCCCAGAAGTCTGTAACTCTTTTGGGACCGCACCTTTGTTGGATACGAAAAATCATGTTTTGGTTTTCAGCGCCAGCTTCCCACCTCAAATGATGGGATCGCTTCCGCGTGGAGAGGCTCCAGTGATGGATTTATCTTTATTCTTTCTGGGCGAAGATCCCACAGATGGGAGAAAGCAGGTTAAAGGTTATGTAACAACCCGCAAAGGGACCTTGTGCTTACCCGTAGCTGATGATGGCATTATGATGAGAATGAGGGTTGATGTGGAGGCCACAGTTAGGTGTCTGAGTGTTCAGCCGTTCCTGAGTGAGATGGATGCTAGATTTATGAAAGCTTGCATTGCTGCTCTATCTTTTTATGGTCCTTTGCCTCAGTTCGTCCTCATGGGGGATGTTGCAAGCCCGAGCAACCAGTCAAGGCTTAGAAACAGTGGTCAGAGACAAGGGTCACACAAGGGTCAAGAGGACAGGAGTTCAGGACTTGCTGGTGAGGACAGAGCTAGGCAAAGGGTCAAAAGACAAGCTGTCTTCTCTGGATCCACCCATGGACACACCCCTGGGCCCGCCCCTAACTCCACCTCTGGCGGGAAAAGAAGGAATGGCATGGAGTGAGGAGAAGCCCAGCTGGACCCAGGAGCTCTCAGGAATGCTGAAAGAAGATCTACAATTTGCTACCAATATGAAGATTTATGACCTGTGCTCTCATTCCAGGAGTGCAGCATGTAACTTTTGTGCCCTCATGTGAATACTGCATGTAGTGAAATGATACTAAATGTCTTATGTAGAGCTAAAAAAGTGTATTTGGTAGATGACCCCTTGACCTAAACTGTCAGGAGAGAATGACTTGTGACTCTTACATTGTTTAGAGCAGTCTCAGAAGTGATATAAAAGGATGCAGCTCAGATCGAGTGAGAGAGTGCTTCAGGCTTCGTTCTTGGGGAGATTCTGAGAAGACAAGAGCTGGTGTAAACTGACTCTTATTTAATCATTTTGAACTAATTCCTCCGTGGGGGATAGTAGTTGTTTTTTACTTTACCCATTTTTGTATTTTGATTTTGTAATAAACCTTTTTTGAAAAAGAAACATAATCCTGATTCTTTCAGGTTTTCTCTAAAGCTTCACGTTTGGAGCCCTGGCCATAAATTGCACAGAGGTAAGCATGTCGAAGGTCGGTCTCTGAATTATCAGGACTTACTTTACAGTTTATAACAGAATAATATAAAGAAACCTTAAGATAAGGGAAGTTTTAACTTCTCCCTCCTTGCGGGTAACGAGTTGTCTTAAGGGCGATAAAAGCAAAATATTCGAGGTTATTTTGGCTCTGATTGCAGGTTGAAAAAGTCTCTAATCAGCTGGAAGGTTGGATTAATAAATAAATTGATAAACTTATGATAGCCTGATCAACTAGCATAAATAATTTTATAGTTACCAACCTCCCACATAAGCTGTTAGAGGCGCAATTAATTCCGGGTAGCCCAAACAATTGCTGAGAGGCTTGGCTTGCCTCCAGACTTCTCTCTAGTATCTTAACCAAAAGGTAACGAGTTTAAAAGAAGTGTAGCACTCTGGGGCTGGCTATTCGTGCAAGTCATTTCACCTTTAAAATAAAAGACAAGATTCTAATTAGATAGTCCAAACCCGGATCTAGTACGATTATACTCGTCGATACACCCCCGAACCCTGATGGATGCACCGTCTCATAAGTTCTAACGGAACTGGGTTTTAAAGGAACCGATAAATGGGACGGGCACGCGACAGCCTAAGTAGCTGGGGGAGAGGGAAGTCTGGGCATCCCGGCTTAAGGCTGATTTATGCTTCTCCGTCTGCGTCAGTGCAGAGCACACGCAACGCCATTATCCGTCCTTGCGTAGGGATCCGGCAGGCACGTAAGTACGTACGGAGTCGAGCCCACTTTTTTAAACGTCCGTCGAACGAAACGGATTACGCAAGATTGTGATTGGTCAGGACGCCGCTGTTGTTTACAGCGCCGCCATTGCAAAGAGAGCCGAGTTTAACTAGCGGCAGACACGGAGAAGCTTGAAGAATACCTCGCAAAATAACTCTAAAAATATGAACGTTTCATCCTCCCGTGACTGGAGGAGTGAAAAGATGCACAGCAAGCGTTTTATTTGTGGACGGATGACAGGAAACGTGGGTTTAGAGGTGGGGAGCGCATGAAGAGGTGGGAGAATGAGAGACAAATATGTCCGTGTTAAAAGTCTCTTATATACAAAAAAACACAATATAAACACACTATCTTGGACCGATACATGACAGGATACCACAGAACAGCGCTACGCCCTCTGTTGTCCTGCCGGGCAATTGCTTTGCAACACTCTCCAGGAGACGGAGAAGTATGAAAGCAAAACGCTTCCGTGTGCGTGTCTGTCCCTTGCGGAGCTGACGGAGAAGCATAAACCAGGCTTAAAGCTGCTGCCCCCGCGACTCCGGATAAGCGGCTGAAAATGGATGGATGGGTGGATGGTGTTTCACACATGGCAAAGCTGTCAATCAAAGTGGTGCACAAAGGGTAAAATAAAAAACAGGAAACATTCATATATATATATATATATTCATTAAAAAAACCTTGAAAATATAAGTAAAGATTAAAATAATTGTCATAAGACACAAAGACACCAAGCAGAACTGAGTAGACAAAACCCAACAGTAAAAACCAGGACTATCAACTAAGTTTAATATGAGATTTTAATCAATTAAAGATGGGGAATGGTTGGCAGAGAGAGGAAACTTATTCCAGACCATACACTCAGAAAGCTCCTTAAGAGCACACCTTTAGAATCCTCAAGAGGAGGTGGTCAGTTTGGACGAGCTGGTGACAGGAGAGAGATATGATATTAACCCTCCCACTGTCCTATTGGGTGACCCCGCCAGGAAAGTTGACCATTGAGCAGGATTTATGGTTTATCCCTTAAGGTCCACGTGGCAGGGGTGAGGTGGTGCTTACCATACCATACCTTACCACTTTTATTTATAAAGCGCTTTCAACGTGGCATTACAGCCAACCCAAGCACCGCACACAAAGCATCAAATAGTCATGCCATGAAAACAATATGAAAATGATACAACAAAGTACCGTCAACCAAACAAGCTGCAACCATAAAAACAGACCATGGATTTTAAATTAAAGGACCAACATGGAAGGAGGATAGCATGGAGTAATGCCAAGAGATGGAGTAATTCAGCGGGTAGGTAATAAAGACATGGTCCACGTGCTTTTTGGAACTCGGTTTCATTTTAAATGACCATTATTTGTCTGTGCATTTATCTTTATTTCTGAAGTAACTTATCAGTGTCAAACAACTAAACAATTTCTGTTGTGTACTTCCTTCAGGTCCAGTTAGCCGATCCTAAACAGGTAACACAGGATGGAGCCGGTCTATATGATGGACTGCCACAGGAGCCCGCTTCTCCTCTCAGCCTCTTCGTCCCACCATCACCATCACACTCAGGCCCGTTTGGTTCCCAATGTGTCCCGGAACCTGGCAGAAGATCCAGGTAGTTCCTGTTTGGTGCCTCCTGAGCCTGTGGTGGCCGTGTTGGGCTCAGGGGACTTCTCCAGGTGTTTGACCCTCCGCCTGCTCCGCTGTGGCTTCAGGGTGGTGGTGGGCAGTCGCCATCCCAAGCTGGCTGTCCAATCGTTCCCACATGTGGTGGACGTGACCCACTACGAAGACGCTGTTGGGAAGGCTAACGTTGTTTTCCTGGCAATCCGCCGTGAGCATTACTCTGCTCTGTGGGACCTCAAACATCTCATGGAAGGTACAGCACACAGTCGCTTCTTCTCCACCACAAACAGCACCCATGAAAGAAAAGGCATTAGTCAGCACCCCCACCACTCATCAATCTGCTGGTGTCTGGATTTAGCTCAGCGGTGTTCATCCTGGTCCTCAAGGACCACTGATCTGCATTTTGTAGATGAGACAAGACAAGTGTTTAGTGAGGACAGGGGTTAAGCGTGGAGGCCATACTTGGTTCAGGCCTAGTCCACACGTAGCCGGATTTATTTAAAAACGAATATCCGCCCCTCCAAAAACTTGCATCCACACCACCTCGTTTTTAAACAAAACTCTGTCCACACGTACCCGGATAAATACGTTGTTAAGGACATGCCAGACCTGTAGGCGGCAGTACTTCTTAACCTCGTCCTTCGTCTGTGGTCTTCCACAAGGAGCAGTAATTCCGCTTGCAAAAACAAACAAGCAGAAAGCGCTTGGACAATTGATAAAGCGAGCGCAGCTCTGAGGGACTCCATGCTGTCGGCTAGTGTAAACACAGGTCACACACGTGATGTCAGCATTTTTTTGTCGCGGAAAGTGACGTTGCGGACCTTAAAACTCCAGTTTTGTCTGTCCACACGCAGACACCCAAAACGGAGAAAACGCAGATCTTCACTTTGGCCGGAGGTTTATTTTTTTTATTTATTTTTTTTTTAACCGTGTCCCGTCTGGCTGTGAAGCAAGCAGAATTGTTGTCTGAATGCTGGTGACAAGCCTTACAGATTTACTCTCAGGTGGAGCATCAAAGCGTTTGCTTTTAATGTCACGCCTGATACTTAAAACTTTATTGTTATTGTTGTTGAATGCTTGGTAATTCCGACCAGACACGGAGACAGAGGTGAAAGAGAAAGGAAAAGAAAAGGTGGGGAGAGAGAGGGGGGGGGGGGGGGGGGTCCACAAAAATAAACAATGAACAAGAGTCTGCTTCTAGACCTGCAGAAAAAGACAAACAAAAGCAAAAGGACAAAAAAAAGGGACACAACAACAATACAACAAGATCAAGCTATCACCGTGTCAACTTGACGAAAAAATATATAATCAATATTGCTTAACTGAAGAATCACGATAATAAATCACAACGCATTAAGTGCCCCCCATAGTCTTAAGACCTGTGTTTAACGTGCCCAAGCCCATACTTTTGAGAGCACCATGTGAGCACCTGTGTGTGTGAACGCGCTTGTTTATGTAAGGTTTCTCTATAAAAGCGTCCAATAGAGAGTGTGAGGGACCACAGATCCGCCCCCAAAGATGCGCAGGAGACGGGGGGAGCTCCAAGTCTCAGAGATCCAGGCGTTGCCCCAGAATGCAGGAACCCCAAGGAGACTGCAACCAGAAAGGCCCCCGCCCCCCTCGAGAGGCACAGAGGATCGCCCCGGGGGGCCACAACCAGCAGCCGGCAGAGTCCCTGGAAACATCAGCGGCAAGCCCACAGGCCCGCCCGCAGCCTCCCACCCCCTAGCCGGCCGAGCCCGGGACCCAGCGACCCGGGACCCAGGCGCGACCACCCCCGCTTGGGACCCAGCAGAGCGCAGGGACCCAGACCCCACCAGGCAGCCACCGGGATCTATCAGGCAGATGCCAAAATCTTAAACCCCCAGACCCGGTTGCCACGAACACTCAGGCAGACCAAGGCACAACCCCTCACACCAGGTGTGGCAGGGGGAGGGGGGACAAAGATCTATATCATCAAGAGAATTTCCAGGAGAGGGGAGGAGTAAAAGGCCCCACCTGACATATACAGTCATACACAAACACAGTCACACACTCCCTCTCTCATGCTCACACATGCACATACAACCCAATACTTACAAAAATGCATGCCGGACACCCACTCATGCTCCCCATACACACCTTATTCACTCTGGTCCCGGTACTGCTGCACCGGTAACCAGAGTTTGACCCTTTCTGCTGGGGTGCTGATGAGCAGGCTTCCCCGCCCAACGCTGAGCACAGCAACCCACCACCCCAGACCCCAACCAGACGGCCAGATCCCCCTCCTAGCCTCCAGCCCCAGGAAGCCTAGTTTTTAAAAAGATCCGTTTTCGTGTGAAAAAACTCCGTTTTCGTGTGGATGACAGGCCAAAACGTAGAAAAATATCTACGTTTTGGCAGATCCCCGGCTACGTGTGGACAGGGCGTCAGATGGTTGTTCTGAAACACAGAAGGCTCAGGACCTCACCCAGACTGACTCTGTCTGCGTTTAATTGTGTCTGCTTGAACAGCGGGGTTTTAACACATCGTGTATCTTCTCCTCCTGACTGAATGAATGGCTGTCGTTTAGATTTTGATTTAGAAATTTGATGCATCTGTTCCAATTTCTTAGAAAGACACAATGCTACATAGATCTTTTTTTGTTACAGTGTCGTCATCTTTAATGCAAAAATGAAGAAAAATACATCTTTTTTTCTGCAGGGAAGGTTATTGTTGATGTGAGTAACAACCGGAGAATTAACCAGTATCCCGAGTCTAATGCCGAGTATCTGGCGTCACTGCTGCCTAATTCTGTCGTGGTGAAAGGTTTCAACGTGATCTCAGCCTGGGCCATGCAGCAGAGCTGCCCCAAAGATGCCAGCAAACAGGTAAAATCCAGCAACCAGTTTATTACTGTTCATTATAAACCATAACAACCCATCTCACACCAGATTCAACAGGTCAAGGCCGAAAAACAAACACAATGCCACTGAAATATACAACAACAGAGCCAAACATCACAAAGATCCGAGGAGGATCGTCGGGAAACTGCTGGAAAAATTGGAAGCTGTCCAGAAAACCTGTAAACCAACAAGGAAAATTGGAAACTGGACAGTTATCAAAGGAGGAGCAGGTGTGAGTGGGACCAAATAGTGCCTGTTGAATATCATGACCCAATTAATATAAAAGCCATCATTTACTTGGATTTTAAATCTTTCTTAAAGGTTCCATATTTTAAACCTTTGACAACAAAGGTAGTCACAGTATATGATCAAGTATTAGCACCATTTTATCTTAAATATGAGGTTTTTTTCATCAGCCTGAATTCATAACTGGAAATAAAACAGTTTGCTTCAGTGAAGCTCCGCCCACGCCCGCACAGACAAAACACGCCTACTACAGCATTTTAGGCCAGCCTGCTGTTGTAGTCCAGTGACCAGCAAGGCACTTTAACCACTAGACTACCAAGTCTGCTACAAAGCAGTAGTCACCTAAGATCTATATCCTTGCTGGCCAGGGGAGCAGGGGCGCCTCCAGAAAATTTTGACAGGGGTGGCCAGATGGGGCCAAAGGCATTTTTGGGGTGGCACACCAAATTGGTCCTTGTGGTCCCTTCCTGGGAGAATTTAGCCATTGGTGATGTACTGCACTGCGCCTTTATTTGTTTTTATTAAAATAACATATTCACAAACATTTCAGAGATATACATTTCAGTTATTTAAAATGTTATCTATAATTAAATTTAAAAATGTGTTTTTTGGGTTAATTCACCTGTTGCTGTGTTAAAAAATCTATGGAGATAAAAACTTTTTTTAAATGGTGAGCAGCAGAAACTTATGTATTTTTTTTATTCTTAATATTTCTTTACTCATTAATTGTAATATTTTTATTTTGTTTTATTATTATGTCTTGAATAAACAAGATCAATGTATGGTTTCACTGAACATTAATATGATTTGTTAACACTGGCTTTTCCTGGGGGGGGGGGGGGGGGGGCAGCAGCAATTTTCTAGGGGTGGCCATAGTCACCCCTGGGCACCCCTTGGGGCCGCACTTGCAGGGGAGACAGGTGTCAGACCAGAGACTAGCTTCTGGAATAGGAACAGGGCCTGATGATGACATTCATTTACATTGACGCTTTACAGGATTTTCAAAGTAAAATTCAAAATTTGCAACTGAAATAAGAAAATGCATGAATGCAGCCAGAACTAGACTTTTTTTTTCATGAGGAAATAACAATATCACCTGGTTAAAAGCTCCAAAAGGTGGATTTTCTATTATATGGCCCCTTTAATGGTTCTGAAAGGTCAGAGGTGCTAGAAAAGTGCCATACAAATGTTATGTTTATTTTATTTTATACATTTCTACCAACACAACAAGGTCAGCCTAGAAATATATTCCCTCCAGCGTGTCCTTGGTTCACCCAGGGGCCCGAAACCACTCCCCTGGGAAGGATGGAAGCATCCTGATCATACGCCAGAACCACCATAACTCCACAGTTAGACTGGCTTGTGTTTGGGCTGAGGCTGGATCGGCCGGATAGAAGGAAGCCCGGTCCAGGACCCCGGTTACCCTCCTAGTCAGACAGTCTGGTATTCTGTTCATTCTTCCATGAAAGCACTAGTTTGCTATGGGAGACCCCACAAGCGGCTATCTGTCCCTGACAATGGATCCCTACAAACCCCTCCACCAAAAATCTAAACTTTTAATTTCAACACAATTTCAATTCAAATCAATCCTTAGGCATTTACTAAGACAAAAAACAAAACGTCTTAATGAACTATTAGTGAATTAAAAGGGCTCCTAACTCAAGGGATGAGTCTGTGAATTTGTAACACATAAAAAGTCACTTGAATGGGATTCTTTGACTTTGTTGGTATCAGGCTGTCAGAGACACAACTAGTTCAACTTTCCTTTATTGCATTTATAACGAACATTAAACATAATTCACAGTTTGACAGTAACAGGATTTCAGCTCCAGCCAGGTGGTTCCAGCATATGACTGTTGGAGTTAATGAACCTAGCATGATGAAACGCTGATCTAGATATAGCCTTAATGTGACCAGTGAAGCTCAGGCCTGAATCACTTATGACACCAAGATTTATAACCTGAGTCTTTGTCTTTATTCCTCTGGAGCCAAGTTGAGCAATAACATCCATCCGATCCTTCTGATTTCCCAAAACAATGACTTCAGTCTTGTCTTTGTTTCACTGGAGGAAGTTTGACTCTCTGCATCCAGTCATTAACTTGCTCCAGACACAGACAGGGTGAGTCTAGGGCAGTGGTTCCTAACCTGGGGGTCCCGACCCCCACAAGGGGGCGCCAAAGCCTCTCAGTGGGTCGCCAGGACCTCTCTATTTTAAGGGGTTAAAACTTCGTTTATTACTTGTTTATAGCCTACATTTTGCTCACTTTTTTTCATGAGTGAAAAGTTTACTGATATTAAGACAGGAAATAATTAGTACAGAAAAAGTAACACACTTTTAAGAACATTTTGCTCAGCTCACTGTTTTATTTTCAAGTGTCAAAAGTTCATTAAAGACAGGACTGGTTGATTAATCACAGCCTTTACAGTAAATAATCTAGTATAAACAGTAATATACACATTTAAGTACATTTTGCTCCGTGTATTTTTATGTGTCAAACATTTATTGAAAGGAATGATTGATTTATCAGTGTTTACAAGAAACAATGTGTTCAGAAAAGTAACACAAACTGTCAAGCACATTATGCTCTGTTTGGTTTTGTTAATGACTTTGTTCTGTACTGGAGCCTACTATTACTGTTATCTATTGAATCAAAGCATATTAAAATGTGCTTGAACAATTTTATCATTTCTTAATACTGTTTGTACTGGAAGAGAGAATGGGAGGTGGTCGTCAAAAATTTTACTGGTAAAAAACGGGGTCCCTAGGGAAAAAGGTTGGGAACCACTGGTCTAGGGGACCACAGTCACTAGGTGATAGAGCTAGGTAGATCTGTGTGTCATCTGCATTACCATAACCCTAAACTAGTGGGAACTATCAACAAGCTTTTCTTTATTGTGTTTAGAAGAGGATTGGAATCTTATTAACACGAAGAGAGGTACCGCCCAGATTTTCTCTACTAGTCTTATTTGGATCACCTCTTACCTCTTCTCTGTGGTTCTGATAGGTGTTCATCTGCAGCGACTCGGTGGAGGCTCGACAGCTCATCATGGAGTTGGCCCGCCAGCTCCAGTTCCAGCCAGTGGATATGGGCCCCCTGTCGTCGTCCCGGGACATCGAGAACATCTCGCTACGGTTGTTCCCGGGATGGAAGGGGCCTTTCCTTACTGCTGTGGCTCTCTCCATCTTGTTCTTTGCTTACTCTTTTGTACGAGACATAATTCACCCTTACGTGAAGCACAAGCAGAGTGACTTCTACAAGATTCCCATAGAGATTGTGAACCGGACTCTGCCTGCTGTGGCCATCACTCTGTTGGCCCTGGTGTACCTGGTGGGGCAGATGGCAGCAGCACACCAGCTCTACTATGGTACCAAGTACAGGCATTTCCCCCCATGGCTAGAGGGATGGCTGCAGAGCAGGAAGCAGTTAGGTCTGATCAGCTTCTTCCTGGCTGCGGTCCACCTCCTCTACAGTTTGAGTCTGCCCCTCAGACGGTCTGAGCGTTTCCTGCTGCTGAACACCGCCTCCCAGCAAGTAAGGCTATACAGTTTATCAAATTTGTATTTCAGATTTTTTTTTTGGCTCCTAAAAAATCACAAAATGGCATAATTAGTGAAAAGTCAGCGAACAGTTGGCGTTGGGTTGAGATTGTTGTTTCCTTCCTTTTCTTTAGTTTCATATTCTCCAGCCGTTTTGTTTGTTACCTCAAGTGCACTCCATCTTCTAGCAAATCCAGGATCTGCATTTTATTTTCAATCCGCTCTCTCCCACCCACTGTAACCTCCAAACCACACGCTCCCACAAGATTTGAGTTGAGTCCTGCAGGATCTCAGTCTCATTGGGCTGTAATTCATTTCAAGTTTATTTATATAGCACCAAATCACGACAAGAGTAATCTCAAGGCACTTCACATAATAAACATTCCAATACAGGTCAGTTCATTAAGCCAATCAAAATAAATGTTTCCTATATAAGGAACCCAGCAACTTGCATCAAGTCACTGACTAGTGTCAGAGTCTTTACAGCAATCCTCATACTAAGCAAGCATAAAGCGACAGTGGAGAGGAAAACTCCCTTTTAACAGGAAGAAACCTCCAGAGGATCCTGGCTCAGTATAAGCAGCCATCCTCCACGACTCACTGGGGATGGAGAAGACGGAGCACACACACACACACACACACACACACACACACACACACACACACACACACACACACACACACACACACACACACACACACACACACACACACACACACACACACACACACACACACACACACACACACACACACACACACACACACACACACACACACACACACACACACACACACACACACACACACACACACACACACCAAGCAATGTGTCTATGGTTACATTGTGATTTCTTAGTAAATATCCTATTTGGTGAGAGATAACCTTTATTGTATTTATCCTAGTGGATCTCTAATTAAACGGATAAACTAGCAGTAGCACATTCAATGTCAAGGAAAGCAAAAAGTTATTATCAGGAGAGGGAGAATGTTTAAATGGTTAGCAGCAGTGTGCTAGATGATAGCCCCCTCCATGAGGCCACCACAGCTCAGCAGAACATCATTGTAGCTGCTTCTGGGGAGAAAAACACTTAGAGAGAAAATAAAGTTAACAGCTGAAATTGCAGAAAATAATACAGTTAAAGAGCAGATTGTAGAAGAAAGAAGTGAGTGTGAAAAGTGGTCAGTGTATCCTCCAGCAGTCTAAGCCTATAGCAGCATAACTACAGCGATAACTCTGGATAATCTATCCTATTTAGATGGAGGCATGTTGGAGGCAGGGCAAGGGAGAGCCGTCTTTACCGACTGTACACTCCACCTCCCTCTACTCCCCCACTTGTCCAGATCTAGGATAACATCAGATTTTAACCATAGGCCCTATCAAATGAAAATGTTTTAAGCCTAGTCTTAAAAGTAGACAAGGCGTCTGCCTCACGGACTAAAGCTGGGAGCTGTTTCCACAGGACAGGAGCCTGATAACTAAAAGATCTGCCTCCCATCCTAATTTTAGATATTCTGGGAACCACCAGTAAACCTGCAGTCTGAGAGTGAAGGGCTCGGTTAGGAACATATGGAACAATCAGATCACTGATGTATGATGGAGCTTGATAATTAAGAGCTTTATTTGTGAGAAGGAGGATCTTAAAATCTATTTTGAATTTAACAGGCAGCCAATGTAGGGAAGCTAAGACAGGAGAGATATGATCTCTCTTTTTAATTCTCATCAGAACTCTAGCTGCAGCATTTTGGACAAGCTGAAGACTTTTAGCTACATTCTTTGGACTTCCTGAGAGTAATGAATTACAGTAATCCAGTCTTGATGTAATAAATACATGAACTAGTTTTTCAGCATCACTCCTGGAAAGGATGCTTCTAATCTTAGCAATATTCCGAAGGTGGAAAAAGGAAATCCTGCAAACCTGTTTAACCTGGAATTTGAATGACATGTCCTGGTCAAAGATAACACCAAGGTTCCTTACTTTGTTCTCGGAGATTAATGTAATGTCATTCAGGTCAGGTGATTGACTAAGTAATTTCTTTTTCTGGATTTCTGGTCCGAAGATGAGAACTTCCGTCTTGTCTTGATTTAAAAGCAAAAAGTTTAGAGTCATCCAATTTTTTTATGTCCTCAAGACAAGCCTGTAATCTACCTAACAGATTAGGTTCATCAGGGTTAATGGATAAATATAACTGAGTATCGTCAGCATAACAGTGGAAGTTTATCCCATGCTGTCTAATGATTTTACCAATTGGGAGCATATATATAGTAAAAAGAATTGGTCCAAGCACTGAACCCTGTGGTACTCCACAAGTAACCCTGGAGTATGAAGAAGATTTGTCATGTACATTTACAAAATGAAATCTATCAGACAGGTAGAATTTAAACCAGCCTATCGCTGTTCCTTTGATCCCTACAACATGTTCACGTCTTTCTAAAAGAACATTGTGATCAACTGTGTCAAAGGCAGCACTGAGATCTAAGAAGACTAGAACAGACACACGATTCTTATCTGAGGCCAGGAGAATATCATTTGTAACTCTCACTAATGCAGTTTCAGTGCTGTGATACTCTCTAAAACCAGACTGAAATTCCTCAATCAGAGCATTAGTGTTTAAATGCTCACATACTTGGATGGCCACTATTTTCTCCAGGACTTTGGATAAAAATGGAAGGTTAGATATTGGTCTATAATTCATTGGGTCATCTGGATCCAGAGAAGGCTTCTTAAGTGAAGGTTTGATTACAGCAACCTTAAAATCCTGTGGTACATACCCATTTACTAAGGATAGATTGATTATATCTAGAATGGGGGGCAGTAACCAAAGGAAATGCATCTTTAAATAATTTGGTTGGGATTGGATCTAAAATGCAAGTGGAAGGTTTAGATGAAGCTAATATTTTTGATAACTCTGAAAGCTCAACTGGATCAAAACGGTTCAAGCACAGATGAGGTTCTACAGTCACCTCTGATGCAGCCTCACTTACTGAGGAAGAAGAAATCGCATTAGGGAGAATGCTAAAGATTTTGTTTCTAATAGAATTAATTTTACTTGTAAAAAATCCCATGAAGTCATTGCTGCTGAGGGCTAAGGGAATAGATGGCTCAGAGCTATGATTCTGTGTAAGTTTAGCAACTGTACTGAAAAGAAATTTAGGATTATGCTTATTCTCCTCAATTAACACTGAGAAATAAGCAGTTCTAGTTTGTCGAAGCTTATTTATATAAAGCACAAGACTATTTTTCCAGGATAAGTAGGACTCCTCATGGTGCGTAGAGCGCCATGTTCTCTCCAATTTCCTAGAGTTTTGTTTTAAAGCTCGTAAATGAGAGCTAAACCAGGGAGCCAACTTCCTGTCCCTAATTACCTTTGTTTTTAAAGGGGCAACATCATCTAATGCCACACGTAAAGAGGAATTAACATGATGAACTAAGGCATCAATTTGTGAGGGGCTAGAAATGAAAATATTGCCCTCTGCTACATGCCTCTGAGATGCTGAGGACAGTAAAGATGGAACAGTTGATTTAAAAGATGCAACTGCGTTGTCAGATAGAGGCCGACTAGCGTGAAATTTACTTTACTCTCCTCTTCCATAGAATGAGCCCTGTCTGTGTGTGTGCAATTTGCTTTATTGCTAGTTAATGATGCAGACCACTGAAAGAAGGAAACCTGCTGAAATCCCAGCATAGAGAAGCAAAGCATGGGCAGTACATATGGGTCTTTGCAATGGTCATGGGAAGCTGGCCTGATTAAAAACTCCTAATGTATTTAAAAAGTATTCTTAACTCCATCTGACTGGATAATTAACCCTTTATAGGGCACTCATTGAAGTAGTTTAATTTTTTAAATGTCAACCCCAGGGTGTTATTGTAGTCCATAACCAAAGTGTATTTCTGTTGTTACAGTTTTCAAAAAGATTTATTTTACATCCAGAAAATCAGTGAAAACAAAGTGATCAAATATGGACGCTGGCCCTGTTCTGGTAAAAGAAATCCCAAAATAAGATAATATGAACAAGTTAAATAAACATTATTTTTGAATAATATAGATACATATAAGACACTTTAGAATAATCTAGCTAATTTTAGAACATTATTACACTGTTCAAAAATACAGAATATATCACAATACAGTATACTAGAGCCCTGCACGGGCCTAAAATCTGAGCCCGTGTCCAGCCCGGCCCAAGGGGGTGGAGCCCCAGCCCGACCCTGTCCGAAAAGGCTTTCAGGATTCTCTGGACCGACCCGAGCCCGACTTTTTTTTAACCAACTAAATGAAAACAAAGTGCATCAATCCTGACCAATGTGTTAAAAGACGTGAAGGATCCGATCAATTTGTTTTTCCCTCGTTTACTGTCACAGAGATGACGGCGCAGGCTCTGGTGGTAATCAAGTTAAATTTGATCTCTTTCCAACAATTTTCACAAGAAAACAAAACAGTCAAAAGCAGGGCTTGTGTTGACCGGACAGTTCCCGTATTTGGCCGTTTATTTTGAAAGAATAGAAAGAATTACCCTGACACATGCAGACGAACTGACATTTTATTTGTTACACACATTGCAGATGTAGCTAAATCACCCAAGAAAAGATTCCCATCTGAACATCTGAGCTGCTCAGCGCAGCTTGCTGTCAGCGCATATGTGCACAGCGAGCTGAAGTTGTGGAGATTGGCTTGGAGCACGTCGCAGAACCAGAGCGCATGCGGGAAGGTTCCTCCCACTGAGGCGAGTGTTTTCCAAACCCTGTCGCTCAGAGAGACTTGTCACTTAGAAAATGTTCCCTGATGATGAAACTTTGGCTGAATAGCGCTTGTTCCTGTCTCCAATGTGGCAACACATCCAGGAGCCGTCTGAGGAGAATCCCAGAATCTCTTCAGCTCAGGAAGCGCATATAATTACGCATAAGCGTGACGCGTCAACCCGGTCTCACAGTAAGACCAGGTTGGGCCTGTTCGGGTTTACGCAGACAATCTTTACATTTAGAATTGGCATACAGATGTAAAATTAATTCAGTAAAATATAAAGCATTTTATTAAAATATCCATTCATTAATTTACAAGCACAGAGAGCCGCATCAGATGGATGGAAGAGCCGCGGGTTGTGACATGTTTTCTTCAGGACCAGAGAGGATGCAAACTCAATACATCTTTTATTGTGAGGTAATAATTTCTCCGAGTTTTGCGGTTGCGGGCGGGAGTAGACATGCACGCTACGGGTGTGGGCGGGAGTGTAACACACATGGTTCTGTTGCAGGCGGTAATGGTCAGAAATTCAGCGGGAGCGGGTAGGAGCGGGATGAAGAAAACAGTCCCGCGCAGGGCTCTACTGCTGCGTTTGTATTTCAATTTTTTAAATGAATTCGATTACAAATAAAGGCGCCCGGCCCGTGTCTGAGGTAATTACACAGTCGTTGGCCCGAAGCCCGGCCCGAGGGCCGTCAGGCCGGGCCGACCCGAGGGCCTAGGGCTTCAGTGCAGGGCTCTACAGTATACTTTTATATAAACAGATTATTGTGGAATATTTTTGGAAAGGAATTGAACTATAGATACTATTTCTGATAAAATATAGATTATTTGAATATTTTATATTTGAGGATCTACCTCATTATCATCACTGATGGCGAGATTGGTTGGCTAAATAACTGTCCTCCATTTCCCAGAGAAATCTTAGTTTAAAACTGATATATTTTGATATATTCAATATCATAATTTTTATTATTACTGTTACCATGAATATTAAGATTATGTCTAAAAAAACAACAGATTTTATCTAAAAATACTCTTAATTTACTTTACTTTTTTGGGGCGTATGTTCAAATATGTCAGATTTGATTTTCATGCTAAGATTTCACCAACTACAACACATGTATCGTTATTTAGCACAACTAGTTAGCCTTGTGATGTGAGAGTTACATAAACCTAGCATTGTTAGTTTTAAAGATCAGACCGTAAACACGAAAGGAGACCGAGCTGTTTTCTGGCTCTGCAGACACATCAGTATTTGGCGCTTCATAGCCTCACACCGATTGGTGGAATGGCGCCATGGTGCGAACCGTGACTAGCTTGATCTCTGATGATTGGTTGGGTGAAATCCCGTAATTCTAAGAGTTTGTGAAAAGGCACACGGACATCATTTATGACGTGAGTGGAAGTGTCTAAAAATAGATGTTGGCCCTATAAAGGGATAAAAACTTCAGTTCAGAACTGGGTTAAAACGCACACCAGCTGATTCTGCAGCAGATGTTCAGTCTACAGATGTAGAGTTTATGTTGGTAAATAAAGAGAAAACTACTCAAGCGTGTAGCCACAACAACGAGCAGGAATCAGCATCAGTGTAGCAGAGTGCAGCTCTAAAAATATCTTCATTTAGGAATATACAGCTCCACCGCCCTTGTCCCTTCTGAATGGATGAACCAGGTTCAGGTTTTAGTTCTGACTGGAGCTTCTGGGTTATAAAATGTGTCAAAAACCAGGAGAGTCCAGTGGTCTCTGATCTGAGAGGATCCAGTTCCAGACTGTTGTGTCTGACTGCTCTGTTTAGCTTAGTACCATTCCTGTACCACATGCAACTGTATGTGAAACTAGACGTTTTACATGACTGCATGTTTACAGGTCCGTGCTAACGTGGAGAACTACTGGAATGAGGAGGAGGTGTGGAGAGTGGAGATGTATGTTTCATTTGGGATCATGAGCTTTGGCCTCCTGGCTCTTCTGGCTGTCTCCTCCATACCTTCCATTAGCAGCTCACTCAACTGGAGAGAATTCAGCTTCATCCAGGTAAGACCGTTCCAAAGTCATCTCCCAAAGAACCAGAATGATCGAATCATGGTTACTCTGTCGAGAACCATCTGATACACAGCAGCTTCTACTAACCATGACCCTTAATTTTGTTCGCCACCTCAGCTGCACTCTCCATGTTCTAGCAAATTCAGGACCCACTGCTTTTATCTTAGCCTCTCTCATAAAATTCACACTGGGTCCTGTGGGATCTCGCGAGATCTTGCGAGATCCCATAGGGCTGTAACTTGGAACACTTGTAAAAAAAAACAATTTAAGAACAAAATTGTGAACTTGTGTTTCTAAATGTTTACTGTCATGAAAAAATGTCAAGCCAGACAAAAGATCAAAGGCCACTGCTGCATTCGTCCAAAGTAGATGACATTCATGCACGATCGCAGTAGGCCGGTAGAGTCATAATATCTACCTTTTGCTAAATTTCTAAATGAGCAATTTCATTTCTATATACCTTTTACGTCGCCCATTACAATCCACAACCCAAAGATGTGGGATAATATCTGAGGTGTGTCACCCACCTTCAGTCTAGGGTGTAACAGTGTGTCTCAGAAGTGTCCCAGGTCTGACCACACATGCAGCTGCTAAGTTCAGTCCCTGTGTGGAGAAGAAACATCAGAAAGGAGCTAAATCTTTCATTCAAATTCAAATAAAAGTTGTCATTAGTTGGCCTTATAGAATTCTTTGGGTTGTAAATCATATACAGTGGTTACAGAACGTATTCAGACCCCTGTCAGTTTTTCACTCTTTATTACCCCATAAAAACAATTTTGTGAAATTTCTGCAGATTTATTAAGAAAGACAAACTTAAATATCAAAATATGGTCCTAAGTATCTAATCCCTTTGCTTAGTACTTAGTAGAAGCACCTTTTATTAAACATATGTTTATTTAGTTTTTTTCTTCCCCCTTTTTTCCCTTGCCCCCCTTCCATCAACAGTATCCAACACAAAATATAATGTACATATGGCAGGTATTAAAATACTAACAATAATGATAATAATAATAATAATAAAAATGTTAATTTGAACAGATTCAAGGTAAGTGAATAATAATTTAAGATAACAAACAATGCATGCAAATAAGAGAAATTTTTTTTAAATAAAAATAAAAACTAATAAAATAAAAATAAAAAAATTAGGTTACACAGTATATTCCCAACAACACGTCAGACATTATTCCTCATTGTCTAGTTATCTTATTCACCCCTCACCCCCTCCAAATCCCCACTTCTCAGTAGATCCAGAAGTATCTTCCAAATGTTATAAAATTCAGAGACCTTCTCTTTAACAATATAAGTCAGTTTCTCCAGAGCTAAACTCGATGTTACGTTGTTTAACCAGTGGTTAAAGGAGGGGCAACCAACATTCTTCCAACATAATGCAATACAGCGTTTGGCCTGTAACAAACAAAGATCGATCATTTTTCTTTCCACACGCGACAGAGTACAGTCATCTGGGTACAAGCCTAAAATACATAACCTAGGGCAAAGTGGTACAAGGGAAGTTGTGATCTGAGAGATATATTGTAACACTGAAATCCAAAATTTTTGAATCTCTTCACATTTCCACAGGCAATGGTATAATGTACCCTGATGTCTATTATATTTATAGCATAGATCAATTATATTAGGATCAAATTTATTCAATTGTACAGGGGATATGTATGTTCGCATTATCCAATTAAATTGTATCATTCTCAAACGAGTGTTAATTGTTTGAGTGTGTGCTTTTAAACATATTTTACTCCATTCACTAGATGAAATGTCTTCTTGTAAGTCACTAATCCATTCCCGTCTTCTACTATCAGAGTTGTCCTTATGGTTTTTGACTAACATGCTATAAAACTGGGACACCAATCTTTTATCAAAATAGTTTTTTGTAACATTAATTTCTAGGACTGACAGTGGAGGTTGATGTACTGAGTTATTTAAGTGTGCCAGAATAAAACATCTAAGTTGTAAGTACTTAAAAAAGTGTTTCTGCGGGATATTAAACTTTGCCCTTAATTCCCTGAATGACATTAATGAATGTTCCTCGTATAGGTCTTGCAAATTCGCAACGCCCGTTTTAAGCCATTCTTTAAAGCCCAAGTCATTTTTAGCAGGAGCAAAAAAATCATTACCCCAAATTGGGGAGAAACAGGACAGCCTGGCTGTCAGGCTATCCAGTAGAAGCACCTTTTGAGCTAATACAGCCATGAGTCTTCTTGGTTAAGATGCAACACTCCTCCTTACAGATCCTCTCTAGTTCTGTCTGGTTAAATGGCGAATGGTGGTGGATAGCCATTTTTAGGTCTCTCCAGAGGTGCTCGATTGGGTTTAAGTCAGGGCTTAAACCCAATCGAGCTGGGCCATTCAAGAACAGTCACAGAATTGCTGTGAAGCTACTCCTCCATTATTTTAGCTGTGTGTTTAGGGTCACTGTCACATTGGAAGGTAAACCTTTTGGCCCAGTCTGAGCCCTCTGGAGAAGGTTCTTGTCTAGGATATACCTGTACTTGTTCAAATTCATCGTTCCCTCGATTGCAACTAGTCATCCCGTCACTGCAGCTGAAAAAAAATCCCCACAGCATGATTTTGCCACCACCGTGCTTCACTGTGGGGAATGTATTGGACACGTGATGAGCGGTGCCTGTCTAAACTGTCTCTCTCATGTGTTTCTTCAGTCCACTCTGGGCTATGTTGCCCTTGTCATCGCCACTCTCCACGGTCTTCTGTTTGGCTGGAAAAGAGCTTTTGAAGAGGAGGCCTACCGTTTCTACCTGCCCCCTAGCTTTGTGGTGTCCTTGGCACTGCCGGTGTGTGTCATATTGGGGAAGGTTTTGACGTTGCTCCCCTGTGTGGCTTACAAGCTCCACCAGATCCGTAAAGGTCTGGATACCAACATGTACAAGTGCCAGCGACTGGAACCTGTTGGATCAGCTACTAATGTCTCACCTGAGAGAGTTACCATCATGTGATCGCTGCTTTACTGGATCTAAATTCTAGGCCATTTCTTGGTGGACACTAGTTTGTTTTAGCTTCAAGAATATTCTAGATTTACCTTTTTGGTGTTTTATCTGATGTGTTCTGTGTAGGATGTCAGAAACGTATCTTAAGTATCAGATCAGAGTTATTCATCCCTACCAGACTGGTATAGTGACTCAAAACACCACATAGTTATATTGGGTCAGAACACCACGTACAACTGCCTTCAGTCTGTTTTTAACAGCATTCATAAACCCTGTTTAGAAACGTTGGTGACTCCATCATTATCTGGTGTTTATGAATCCTGTTTGTGTGTAACTTTCATTCACAGTAGTGTTAACAGATAAAGAGCATTCACAAGCAGCAGACATGGTGTGAAACGGAGTTTATAAAACAGACATGGTGCTTAGATGTCTGTTAACAGCAGTATTGAGACAAACTGTAACCTACACTGTGATCCCATACTCACAGGAACTGATCTGAATATTTTAATGTTGTGATGGTCTGTAGACTACTGGCAAATTAGAAAACAGAAATGTACATCTAAACCTGAGAGGCATCTCAAATGGCTTGAATTCATACTAAAACATCCTTTATAAATGTATCTGTATATTTTTTTCTTCACATTCAGCCAACGTATTAAAATGTATTGCGTTGTGTTTCATACAAGCTGTTTGCCCACAGAAGACTCTTATTTGTTGATGTCAGCCAGGGAAAAATGTTGTAAGGTATGGGTTAGGGAGGGTGGTGGAGTCGGTGAGCCCTGATCTATTCACTGGTACTGGAGGGCCACTGGCCTGCATGCTTTAGCCGTTCCCCTGCTCCAACACACCCGATTCAATGATTGAGTCACATCTTCAGTATGTCCTCTAGTTCTTCTAAAGCCTATTCATCACCCATTGAGTCCAGGTATGTTGGAGCAGGAAACATAGAAAACATGCAGGAGTGGCCTTGGGACCAGGGTTGAATAAACCTACTCTATCCCACCTGCATTCCTATTAAGGTCAGATGGAGCCCTGGTGTTCTTATTATTTATTTATTTTAATTTTCATTCGTTTTTCCCAGTTTCTTCACTAATCTAGACGCGGTGAGTCCTCCTGAGAGCATTCAAAAGGTCTTGATCCAAAGTTTGCCTCTTGCAGTCCCAGTGGGGTTTGATGGACAATGTGTGCGCTGTTTCAACTTTTGCATGCCTTTCTCGATGTTTGTTAACTAATCCTGTTGCAGCTGATCAGTGGTGGTTGTCATGTTTTTTCTTCTGTTTTTCAACCCAGCCACATTCCTAGCAGAGTCCAATGGACCCCACTTGTGTTTTTGTTATAGTTTTGAGGAGTGAGCACCACCTTACTCCTGCCACATGGAACCCCAAGGGATAAACCATCAACCCTGCTTAACCATCCTCTGTCGTGGAAGGGTCAGCCAATAGGACAGCAGGAGGGTTAAAGGTTAAACACACTAACATTTCTTGTTCTGGAAAGAGGAGGACAATGTGTCCCTCTGGCCCTCCCTGCTGCCAACATGTCCCAATGCACAGACATCCAGACAATATAGTGTCACTCACACACTACATACGTATGCGTTTTGTTTCCAACACCACTTGGAATACAGTGTGACCCCAAAGCGTGCACCAAGTTTTCAGTCTGATGTCACATGAAATGTGTCTATGGGCCAGCGGTGCCAGTGTCATTTTAGATTTTTTACTCTATATATCAGCATCCCATAGAAACCTGTTTTATTGCTGATTTTGGTTAAAGAAAAAAATCCCATGAGATTTTTGATATGAACACATTTTAACCTCTTGAGTCCAAAATTTGGAAGACTGAAGCAGACAGCTGAAGTTTTATATGACATGGTCTGAACCCAGAGACTAAAGGCTGCTTTTATTAGGCTGTGAAGTTATTTTCTCTAGAGTATTTCATTTTATTCACATGTATAAAACAATCACATAAAATCATTCTTGCATTTAAATAGAAACCTATAGGGTGGGGGTGTATCCACAGCCCACGTGCACCCAGCAAGTCCACCACGAGCAGCAACCTGGAACCAAATTAAAACCAAAAACGAAACCTTTAAAATGATTTTAATGAAATCAAACAAATCTTACAACATTTATTAAGCCAAGAATGAAAACTCAAGAGTTCACCTGAGAGCCAGTGCTAGTCTGGGTTCTGTGGTTTGGACATTAAAACCCGCTGTGTGGACCCAGCTGCTGACCCAGATGTTCCAGCTGACCCAGCAGCTCAGAGGCGCTCGGTCTGAGGCGCGTGTCTGCGCTCCAGCAGCGTCCGAGCAGCGTTGCGCACAGCCGCCCCCAGTCGGACCTGAACACCGAGTGGCTCTGGACAGACGGGCGCAGACCGTGCGCCACCACCGAGTACATGATGTGCTGCCGGTCTCCGGTGTAGGGCGGCTCGCGGGTCAGCAGCTGCCACAATGTGATCCCGAACGAGAAGATGTCCACTTTGGAGGAGACCGGTTCTCCTCGGAGCAGCTCCGGGGCTCGGTGCGTGTAGGTTCCACACACGTGGCTCAAATAAGGACTGATGAGTTCGGGATCCCGGTCCAGTTTCAGGGAACAGCCGAAGTCCGCTATCTTGCACACTTCCGTCCGGGACACGAGCACGTTGGCCGGTTTGATGTCCAGGTGCACGACACCGTGGGAGTGCAGGAACCGCAACCCGTCCGCGATGTCCGCCGAGAACTTCAGAGAGCGGTTCGGCTCCAGCAGCTCCGAACTTCCGTAGATGATCTGCTGCAGGTTCCGGCTGCCCACGAACTCCATCAGGATGGTTCCGATGCTGTCCTCCACCTCAAAGTCTGCGGGCACGCACGTGGTGGCCGCGAGGACGCGCACGATGTTCTTGTGGGTCAGGTGCGCAGCGTTCAGTTCGGCCCAGAAACTTTGCCGAGACGCCAGCTGGTTCTTTGAGCTCTTCTTCACCTTCTTTAGAGCCACAGTCTCTCCCAGGTACTCCGCCTTATAGACGGAACCGAACCCACCAGAACCCACCGGCACCACGGAGCGCAGCTGGTCCCAGTGGATCACGGTGGACCAGAACCGGCTGGTGACTCTGCCGTGCGGCCGCTGAGCCGGGACCTGTAAGGTGGACCCACGGCCCGGATGGGCCAGCGGGCTGCTGCAGGTTCCGATGTCCACGCACGGGTACAGGTCCTTGGGTAGGAGGCGCGTGACTGGGATGGGTGAAGGCATGCCGAGCGAGAGAACACAGGTGCGTCCACGTGCACAGGTGAGTTGCCGCGGTGCGTGACGGGATGCTGCAATGCATCATGGTTGGAACTCTTGTAGGTCCTCGAAGAGGGTCTAGAACCGCGGTCAGAACCGAACTGAGAGGAACCACAAATATTCCAGTTTTAAAAGGTTCTTGTTCTGATCATCAGACTGATGCATAAAAGCATGTCAAAGGTCATGAGCCCGACCTGCACGAGCTCTGGTGAAAACACCCAGGCTCAGTTCTTCACCTACAACAATAATAACAAAGAAACTGAGATATTCTGGAGGGTTCTACTGGAGAACATCTATTGAATTACCATCAATCAGATTAAACATCCATAAAACACCAGCCCACACACAGTCCTGTTGGTTCTGATCCAGAACCGAAACGTTTAGTGAAGAAGGAAGACCAGGAGAGAGTGTGTGTTAGATGTTTCTCTCTTTATTGAGTCTCACGACAGAATCAAAACACTGGAGTCTCATAGCAGCGAGGTGTGTGAGTGAAATCAGGTTATTCTGCAGAGCAATAAATAATCTGTTTCTTTGGATGAACTTCAAACAAAACAACAGCTGCAGCTTAATATCCATTTTATACAACCTCTACACATGTTTGTGATTTATATCGTCGATACGTAGAAAAATACAACAGTAGTTTGTGAAGTATAGAGAAAAGTTGAGATTTAAAAACCAACAGGCTTTGAAGCGGTTTCTGTCTGGGGAGGGGCGTTTCAGGCACGTCTGCAGAAGGACTTCAAAAGTCACAGTACAATAAAAAGACTTTATATAACTATATAAATATGGATGTATACAAACAGATGTAAGTATGTATTAGAAAGAACCGGAGCAAAGTACAAACATTGCATTTAAAGACCAGGAATGTCTGTAGCACCTTAAAGAGCTCCAGACTCACGTAGCAGCATTTCCAATCCTAATGCAGTGTTTCTAACCAACACATTCAGTAAGGTTGACCGGCACCGCTCAAGCTGACAGGCCTAGAACGGGTCTGGATCACCAGAACAGGGTTGGATTCAGTCCAGAGCTACAATCAGTTAGCATTACGGTTCTGAACATGTTCAGGAAACGTCTTTTAGTGAAAATGTCATTTGTTTCATTAGGTTCTAATGTGTAAAATGTCAGATGTGTGAGCAAAACCCACAGCGTTAAATAAATATAACGCTGTTGATCACCAGTGGGTGGGTTTACTCCAGGGGACCAATAGTTTTATTCAACCTAGAAAAATAAATGTTTAGATGCTTTTTCTCGTTAAAAAAACTCTTGATAAAACAGAACTGTTGTGCAAGTAAAGCAAAAATTACACTCTGATAAGAAAACACTGCCAAAACGGTACCTGTAAAAATAAAACACTTTATATAGTATTTACATATAACTGTTCTCTACAATAGCTAAATATATCATCTATACATTTGTGGTAAGGGTTTAGAACAGAGGCTACTGGAGGAACTGAGGTGTTCTATTTACAAAAAGTGCTGCGATTTACAAACAACGCCAACGTGACCAAAGCTTACAGCGATCACACTCACCTATGACCTCCACCCAGATCCTTCCACTGGGAGCAAACGCGGCGGCAGAACCAGTCAGCTAGTGGGTCTGTTAGTCAGTATTATTGCTGTTGGGCTTCACCCTCCTTTTTTAACCATTCTCATCTTTTTTGCGTAAATCAGCTTTAATGGTCATCCTTCATTTCTATCGATGAGTCTGTTAACGACTTTTCTGTGAAAAGTGTCAAAGAGCCTGTGGCTAGTTCCATTTTTCGGGTTTAGAAGGAACAGGCTGTGGAACAGAGACGAGAGAAACGCCAGGTAACACTGTTTGGCTTGTAACAGTAAATCTGGAGGAGCATATCAGCATTAGCCTAATAAAAAAGTGTTATTTCTAAAACATTCCACAGCTGTCTCACATATTCACCATGAATGTCCCACCCTAGCATGGTTGATCAGATGTTTTCTTATAGGTCAACCCTAACCCCTAACCCACACTCTGCACCCAGTTTTCTCAGCATTTAGTAAGTTTTTTATTGACAGTAGGGCAGGGCCATGAATCGAAAATTTATCATTATCGAAATTTCTGACTCTTATTGAGATTGTTTTCCCCATGTCAATAAATTTAATAATACAAATATGAAAAGATGTGTAGGTTGGCAACATTCATGTCTCTTTAATAAGCGGTACCTTTTTGCATCACGTAAAAATGTGACTCAAGGTAATTCATGTGACAGCCCCATCTAGTGGACGACGTTTGTTTCTGCGCATACCTGTAGTTATCGTCCATTTATCTTTATCAAGGTGAAATCCTCAATATACAGGTGCTGGCCAGTAAATTAGAATATCATCAAAAGGTTGAAAATATTTCAGTAATTCCATTCAAAATGTGAAACTTGTACATTATATTCATGCAATGCACACAGACCAATGTATTTCCAATGTTCATTACATTTAAATTTGATATTCATAAGTGACAACTAATGAAAACTCCAAATTTGGTATCTCAAAAAATTAGAATATTCTGAAAAGGCTGAATATAGAAGACACCTGCTGCCACTCTAATCAGCTGATTTACTCAAAACACCTGCAAAGGCCTTTAAAAGGTCCCTCAGTCTTGTTTTGAAGGCACCACAATCATGGGGAAGACTTCTGACTTAACAGCTGTCCAAAAGACAATCATTGACACCTTGCACAAGGAGGGCAAGACACAAAAGGTGATTGCTAAAGAAGCTGGCTGTTCGCAGAGCTCTGTGTCCAAGCACATTAACAGATAGGCGAAGGGACGGAAAAAATGTGGTAGAAAAAAGTGTACAAGCTCTAGGGATAACCGCACCCTGCAGAGAATTGTGACGACAAACCCATTCAAAAATGTGGGGGAGATCCACAAAGAGTGGACTGCAGCTGGAGTCAGCGCTTCAAGAACCACCACGAGGAGACTCATGAAAGACATGGGATTCAGGTGTCGCATTCCGTGTGTCAAGCCACTCTTGAACAAGAAACAGCGCAAGAAGCGTCTCGCCTGGGCCAAGGACAAAAAGGACTGGACTGATGCTGAGTGGTCCAAAGTTATGTTTTCTGATGAAAGCAAGTTCTGCATTTCCTTTGGAAATCAAGGACCCAGAGTCTGGAGGAAGAGTGGAGAAGCACAGAATCCACGTTGCATGAGGTCCAGTGTAAAGTTTCCACCGTCAGTGATGGTGTGGGGTGCCATGTCATCTGCCGGTGTTGGCCCACTCTGTTTCCTGAGGTCCAGGGTCAATGCAGCCGTCTACCAGGAGGTTTTAGACGACTTCATGCTTCCTGCTGCTGACCAACTTTATGGAGATGCAGACTTCACCTTTCAACAGGACTTGGCACCTGCACACAGTGCCAAAACCACCAGCACCTGGTTCAAGGACCATGGTATCCCTGTCCTTGATTGGCCAGCAAACTCGCCTGACCTTAACCCCATAGAAAATCTATGGGGTATTGTGAAGCGGAGGATGCAATACGCTAGACCCAACAATGCAGAGGAGCTGAAGACGACTATCAGAGCAACCTGGGCTCTCATAACACCTGAGCAGTGCCACAGACTGATCGAGTCCATGCCACGCCGCATTACTGCAGTTATTGAGGCAAAAGGAGCCCCGACTAAGTATTGAGTGCTATACATGCACATTCTTTTCATGTTCATTCTTTTCAGTTGGCCAACATTAGAGAAACAAACATTTTTTCATTGGCCTTTAGAATAGTCTAATTTTCTGAGATACCAGATTTGATGTTTTCATTGGTTGTCACCTATAAATATCGAAATTAAACGTAATAAACATCGGAAATACATTGGTCTGTGTGCATTGCATGAATATAATGTACAAGTTTCACGTTTTGAATGGAATTACTGAAATATTTTCAACCTTTTGATGATATTCTAATTTACTGGCCAGCACCTGTACTGTGATATTGATTTTAGGCTATATCGCCCAGCCCTAATTGACAGAGGTGGTTGTTTAACCTGTAAACATGTTTGCTAAAAACCAGCTAGCTTAGCCACAAGGCGCGCCAAGCTGGATTACACACTCTAAACTGTTAAAACACCACCACCAATGGCTCCGCCCTTGGTACGTGCCGGTAACACCTCCGGTGAAATGGACCAGATACATTTATATTTAAAGGGCTTAAACGCTGTTTAAATCAGGCTGATTACTCCAAAGTCAAGTTGAGGACAACGCAACAAAAAGTCAAGATGAGAAATATGTTCCATCTTATGGAGAAACTCAAAGCTCAGGTAAGGCCCACTCACACAGTAAATGGAACCAACCAAGTCCCCCCACCCCCCCACACAGGTCTAGAACCGTAGAACATATTATTACTTCCTGGTTTGTTACATAAGTTTGTAAAAATGTTCCAGTTTTTTCTAACCAGGAAAAGGTCCAGTAGACCCCCTTCACACTGGATGATGACGTTATTTTATATCAGAGGGTGGATGGATCCAGGCAGAGCCAACGAGCCTCTACTACAAGGACTAATGGGTTCTACATCTGTAGTAGGGTGGTGCTGTCCTGGTCAGCCCTGCCAATGGTTCCTTATGGGAAGGAAAGGGCCTAATAACGCTCCCATGCACATAACCCCACCCCCTGAGAATTCTAACGGAGCCAATCGGTGCTGAGCAGCGTACGTCACATACCGCAACACTCACGTTCTCATACACAATGAAGATGGCGTCTGACGCAGAGTGTGCTGCGGTTCTTTCCTCTGTTCTAAATGACTTGGATATGTCTTTAAAACCACATCAAGAAGAAGCTCTTAAATCCTTTCTTCTAAAAAAATGTTTGCATCGTTGCCAGCACCGTCTTTGACTACAGCAACAAAACCACAGCGTCACGTGATATGGCCGTCATTTCTGTCTTTTTTCTGATTGGTTATTTTTGAGTTGGCTAGTCCCGCCCGTCACGGTGATCTGTGCCTCTGAGTATCCAGACTCATCCTCTGTGTAGAATAGACAGAAGGCGAGTCTGGCAGGGCAGGCTAGGGTGTTGTTTGTTGGTCATTGTAGAGTATGGGGGTCCAGGGTGGGGTGGGTAGAGTATGGGGGCCCACTAAGAATAGCAGCAGTTCACCTGATAACAGGTAAAAATAAACAGAATTCCTACACGAGGAAACATTTCCAGGCTAATCTGAGACGTGCACTGATGAACGGCCTCATTTTAACTTTAACCACGACTGAAGGACTTCTGCGGACATACGAGGTGGAATGCTGTCACCTGTTTGGGTTCGGAGTAAGATCTGGTTACAGGTTGCAGATATTACAGCAATATGATCGAAGAGATCAGGTACTTACTAAAATGCCTCACCAGACTCAGGTAAAATGGTTTCCATGGAAACGATGGTGAAATCCAATCCAACAGCTGCTTGGATCTTTGCCCAAACAAGACGAGATCAGATTCTTTTAATGAGGTCAGAGGAATTTACAGTCTGATTTATCAGTCATAGAACGGGTTTTTGAATGGGTTCAGAACAGATCCAGATCCAAGTGAATCATATGGGATTCAGAATGGTTCTGTTGGTTCATGGCAGTAAAACAAAGACGGTCTGTCAGTGACCATCAGGGAGCTGAAGGTTCTGATGCTGCTGGCACTGATTAGGGCTGAAGCTCAGCAGATAGACTAGAACGTTGAGTTAATCATCAACACAGCATCTAGCTAGGTTATGGTTCACCCTGGTTCTGATAGCCCTTTTTATGTTGGATTGTCCTACAACCTAACAATCGTTCTGACAGTCCCTTTGACTATCTGTGTGTGTGTCGGTCCAGCTGGTCACTGGAAGGCCTGGTGGAAGCAAGGCAGAGTGGTGGGTGTGCTCAGATTGGAGATGAAAGGGGAGGAAAGTCCTTGAAGCAGACTGTCTGCAGTTTCTGGGCCTGGTGGTGCCTGAAGGGGCAGCTGGGCTGGAGATGCAAGTTCTTCAGAGGTTGGAAAGTTGATGCCCTGGTCCTCGCCGAATCCCACCTGATGGTAAGGAGGTCCGTTGAGTGGCAGGAAGTTGAACAGCTGCGAGAAGTCCATCAGAGAGGAAGATGAAGCCACAGAGTCAATTACTGTGGTTGTCCCCAATGTGGACATCTTGGAGAAGGACACTTCTTCACCGGCATCCTCCAGCATACCTTCATGAGGTACCAACTCAAGTTTGGAGGAGAGTTGGGGTTCTTGGGCCGCCAAGGAGGAAGATGGCATGCTGCTCTGCAGCTCCATCAGGAAGGTCTCCAGTTCTCCCTTCAGGTTTGGTTCCCTCTCATGTGGAGGAATGGTGTATGAGGTAAATTTGGAGCCCAGTGGGTACTTTATGGACAAGGGGTGAGAGTCCAGGTCTGAACCTGGATAAACATTGCACTGGTGGGACCTTGGCGTCAGTGTTCCTGGAAGCTCACCCTTGATGCTCCCAGAGGCCAGATCATAGATGACAGGCTGCAGGGAATCAGCTGGCTCTGTTTTGACCCTCAGCAGCTCCCTGGTGTGGCTCTTCTTCATGTGGCGTGTCAAGTGATCCTTTCTACCAAAGCGCTGAGCACAGTACTGACAAAGGAAGTCCTTTCGTCCAGTGTGCACCACCATATGACGTCGCACATCTTTACGAGTGTAAAACCGCCGCTCACAGTGCTCACAGTGATGCTTCTTCTCTTTGGTACCACCAGAGGACTTGCCAGCATGGGTTCTGAGGTGTTCCAGGAGAACCCCTGTGCTGGGGAACAGCTGCAGACACACCTGGCAGGTGAGGTCACCATTGTTAGCAGCATGGAGAGCCAGGTGGCGCTTGAAGCCCAGCTTGGTGTTGTAGCTCTTGCCACACTGCTGACAAGTGAAGGCCTCCTTGTGTGGGTCGTGAGTATGCAGGTGATTTTTTAGGTGATCCTTGCGATGAAACATTTTCTCACAGTATGAACATTTGTGGCTTTTCTCTGGTGAGTGAGTTGCCATATGCCTTGGAACACAAACACATTCTGTTAGCACTTTAAGGTTCAATGTAGGCATGCCTCAAAAACACCTCATTAACAGCATGTTACCAAAAGCCTGCTTGTGTGTACCGTAGCAGCTTGTACTTGGAGACAAAAGCCTTGGTGCAGTCAGGGTGAGAACAGCCGTATGGTCTTTCCCCCGTGTGAGAGTATAAGTGCACCTTCAACTTCTCCAGGCTGTTGAATGCTTTCTGACACTCCTGACAAGGAAAGTTCTTCTTCGGCTTTCCTTCAGCTCTCCTGCGCCTCCCCGAGGGTGGTGTGAGCTTGGCTTTCTCCAGGACGTGGTCACGGTGGCCCTCAGTTCCCGTGGCCATGGCACCCTACAGCAGACCAGCTACATGGACAGATGTGCAGTGCCCGAAGCGTACTGATGCAACTATTCTATCCAGTATTATCGTCTCATCATTGCCTGGACTGATGGATCTGGGAGAGAAAGCAAGGGAGGGGAAGAGAGAGAGGTGAAACTGATTAATCTGAAAGAAACATTACTTTTTTCCAAAACCAGGGGCAAGCTGCAGCACACTCCTCAGTTCAACTGTAATCAGAGGTGCATGCAAACTAACATTCTGGCACAAAGTGTCTTCATAGGAGTTTACAGAAACCAGGGGTCGGCAACTCCGGTCCCCGAGAGCCGCTATCCCGCAGGTTTAGATGTTTCCCATGCTCCAACACCGTTAACTCACCTGTTCGGGAACTCAAGCTCTGCAAAAGCTGGTACCTGGGGCCTCATTTACAAACTTAGCAAAGAATCCTCACTAAAACTCTCCTTGAGCTCAGCAAAAAATTTATAAATATATATATATACTTATACAAACTAATTAAACTATAAAACACTGCTTACAGATGACTGCAGCAGTTCCAGCTTTATAAATCACACCTGTCCTAGAGTTGTGCTCAGGTGTTTCTGGGTCACATCCCGCCTCCTACACACCCTCTTTCTGCCATAAATGATCAACTTAAACCATGTTATGAATTTTCTGCATATACATAAACCGGCTGATGGAGGGCATTTCACAGGTAACCATGACAACCGAAATGGAAATCCAAGTTCTGGGGAGTGAGGTAGGCACGGCAAACATGCTTTACTCCTCTTAGGTGTGTTCTTACTGCGTCTAGTTTCTAATTCCATTTTTGGTTCTTTTTAAAACACAGGACAGGTTTCGCTTTACCTTGCCAAAGTTTCGTTTGCCGACTGCAGAGCATCCTCGGAGCTCCGAGGATGCTCTGCAGTCGGCAAATGAAACGAGAAACCTTTCCTGTGTTTTAAAAAGAACCAAGAATGGAATGTCTTACTCCTTTCCAGCGGCACTGCGCTGTTGCAGCACATTGCTGGTGGTTTTGTGTGTGCGCGCGAGGGTCTACAAGTCTGTAAACGCGTCTTAAATATTTTACCATCTCACCAGCTGCGCAGTCGGTTTCCCTGTGCCTGAAATGTGCTCATGGTAGGTCTAAAGTTTGCTTACAGCTGACATGTTTTTCTATGAAGATTTTCTTTATAAATCACAAAGTTTGTGTGGAAAGTCACTAACGCAGTTTTCAGACCCTGTTATGTGCATCAGCAAGCTTTATAAATGAGACCCTGTTTTACCACCATGACCGACTGGTACAGTGTCTAAAACCAGTCTCCTGCCCCATCCCACTACTATTGAATAAAATAAATACTATGAATAAGAGTCTGAGATGCTTGCTGCAGTCTTGCATAATCCGATAAGATATAGTAGACCTGTTTCAAGCAGAGTAGACTTTTGAACATTATTTCAACTTGAACAGGTGAAAGGTGGATGTGCTGTGTAGTCCTTGAACTGTGTAGTCATGGAACAAAAACTCAACCAAATCCAAAATAACTAATTTCCACTCCTTTTGTGAAGGATGTCCAAGAAAGTCCAGCAGCAATAGAACCTTCTCCTAAAACTAATCCTGCAGCATCAGGACCATGTCTTAACCATCCCACTGTCTTCATGGGTGCCACGTGGACCTCAAGGAATCAACCATCAATCCTGCTCAATGGTTAACTTTCCTCGTGGGGTCACCCATAAAGACAGTGGGACGGTTAAACTGATTCAGGTTCAGGAATCTCCCCAGACCTTAATTCCATTGAGACCAATTGGTCAATCTTTAAGAGGCAGGAGGGCAAGGCAACTTTATATGTATAGCACCTTACAACGGTATAGAACCGACCAAAGTGCTTCACAGACATTAAAAACAAACACAATACACAACATAAAAATGCATAAAAAAACTAAAGCTTAAGAACTAACACTGATAAAACACTAAAAAGATTCTCGTGCTGGGTTAAAAGCCAAATCATTAAACTAGGTTTTCAAAAGGGATTTAAAACCAGGCAGCGAAGAGGCCAATCTAATGCTCAAAGGCAGAGTATTCCAGAGCCTAGGGGCTGCTACAGAGAAAACCCTGTCACCTCTGAACTGGCGTCTTGTTTTAGGGACTTCCAGGAGCATCCTATCAGCCGACTTTAGACACCGTGCAGGGGAATAAAAAACCAGAAGCTCAGAGAGGTACTCTGGAGCAGGGCCATGCAGAGATTTAAAAGCCCATAAAAGCACCGTGTACTGGATTCTAAAACGAAAAGGCAGCCAGTGCAGTGAGGCCAGGACAGGAGTAACATGCTCCATCTTTTTTGACCCTGTGAGCAGCCATGCAGCGTCATTCTGCTCCAACTGAAGACGTGAGGTGGGATTGTGAAACGCCAAGGTACAAAGAATTACAGTAATCAAGCCGTGATGTAATAAAAGCATGACTTACTGTTTCAAAATCCTTGTTAGAGAGCAAGTTCTTCACCATGGCGATCCTTCTTAATTGATAAAAACTAGATTTAGTCACCGCACTGATCTGCCTGTCCAAGACATGATCCCCATCCAGCACAACATCCAGAGAAGTCACACTCAGGACAAACCTACAACATTCTCACTGAGGCAGCAGAGCTACCAGCCGCACCACCATTAGGGCTGAACAATGTTGGAAAGTAATCTAATTGCAAATTTTTTCTTGAAATATTTCAATTGCAATTTAATTCACAATTATTTTCTCAAGGGGCTTTTCTCATATTTTTCAACTAACATAAGCAAAAAAAAAATAAAATAAAATCTATGCAACTTGAACTGAATATAAACAAGTGTATGTGTCTACACATTTATCTACATATATCTGCAAGTTTATTTGTCTACATATACATAAACACTCACAAGTAAAGACAAAATGTTGTATTTGAAGGTGCAATGCTTTGCCACCAGGAGCACATCCCTTGAAGGAGCACAGGTATTAGCAACACCTATGAATAGGGTTGGGCATCGTTTGATTTTGAACGATTCCGATTCCAATTCCAATTCCAATTCTTCTTTTCGATTCCAGTTCCTATCGATTCCCGATTCTGATTCTTTCAAGACATGACATGTTTTAAGTGAGCTAGCTAACCACGTCTTGATGAAATAATCTTGAATTCAACATGAATTTTAATTCTATAAACAATAACATCACCTTCATTTAGACAAAAACATGTTTTGTAGAAAAAAGATAAAGACTTGCAGCATAATCAGTGTGTTTGTTTCTGACCACGACCAAAGTCTGGAAGAAGCCTCTGAGGCTAAGGGGCTCGACACACGGGAGGCAACAAACCACCGCGATGAGCAAAATTCGTCACTGTCGTTTTTATTACCTGACACACGGAAGGCGACCCGTGGCAGCGGCCTGCTGCAAAGCCGTCGGCACGTTCCGATCCATGGCGAAATCGAAACTTCTGTTGTTTTGTTTGGCTTTGTCAGGTTGGAGGGAATTAAGGTTATTTAAGCGGTTCAGAGTTAAAAAAGCGGTAGATGTGATGTTTCACAAGGTGCTGCTAGAGTTATGTGAAATCTTACTTCTGATTTTACTATATGAAACATAATAATAATCAACTTCTCCTTCATGTTTGCTCGGAGGTATACGGAGCATACTGCCCGCTCATTGGGTCAGTGAATGAAACCTCCGTTGATTGGTCCTCGTCCGAGCGACAGCGATGAAAAGTTGAAAATATTTCAACTTTCTGGGATTGCGTCGCTGGGTAGCCTGTGCATAACACGTGCACAAGCGCAAAATTTCACACGCACGTTTTTTGCGTTTTGCTTAGTAGGAGGGAGACCCGCGATTATTGCTTTGTCGCGCATGTCTCATTGAAAATGAATGGAGGAGATGCGATGTCGCCTCCCGTGTGTTAAGCCCATAAATGCCTCCAACATATCCAGAAACATGCAGCTGTTTTCAGCTAAAACTCTCAGGATGATCATGTCCAAGATGACTGAGAACCTACACCTCTATGCTGCAGCAGCATTCAGTCAGAAGAGAAAGTGAAACTTAAATGTAGCTGCTGTCGGTAACAGCCTAACAGATTTTAAACATTAAAACTCTCAACAGAAATAGTTCAGAAAGGAAATTAAAATGTTATTTATTATTATTATAATTATTTATTGTGGCAGAAGCTGGTGTGGTCCACCACAGAGAAGCTGCTCTAGCATTGGGACTTTAATTATTCTGCAGGTTATTGTTCAGCCTTCTGATGCTGACTCACACGAGTGTTGGTGAGCGGCTGCGGCTGACTGCTGATGCTCTGTATGTGTTTTTATTTCTGCAGTGAGACAAACTCGCCTCACACCATCCAGAGTTTGTTCTTTAAAGCTTCTATTAAATCCACCGTGTTGACGTATTTTAACAAGTTTCCTCTACGCTGCAGAAGTTAAAGTTTATGTTACGGAGTAAAAGTTTGGCAGACGCGTTTGTTTAGATTTGGCCGCTGCGCGCCGGGTGGGGGGAGGGGGGACTCGGTGCTGCACACAGACAGCTGTTGTGATCAGTTCTGAAAAGTGTTGATCACAATTTGCAGATCATGTTTATTTTTCACTGAGATCGGCCGTGGATTCCTCTTCCAGTCGGCATTCTAGGAATCGAAACTAGGAATCGAAATAAAAAACTTTGAATGATTCTGGGAAAAATGAACAGTTGGAAATGGTTCCAATCGATGCTCGATGCCCAACCTGTGAAAATGTATTTGCAGGAAACAAGTGTGTCCCGTTTATTGATGTCTTTTGTGTTTTTGATGTCTTGTCCAAGCAGAGCTTCCATAGTTCAGTTACATCCATAGCTGCTAACCAAAACTCAGTGGAGTTAAAGTCTCTTCCAGTTTTCTAGCTTTACTAAAATATCTGTCTGTACTTATTTGATTGATGGCAGATTTTACTTTTTATTAGACAGCAAATGTAATTATTTGGCACGTTTCTAATATGTAATTTGTAAGAATGTAATCAGCGATATTAGCATTAGCATTTCTATGGGGTTTTCCATGTACAGTGGCATTGTGCTAACCACTTGCTGCCAGTCAAATCGCAGCCTTTGCGATTAAAAAAATCTCCTTTTGTCACATCGCAGTTTAATTG